TATATTCTTAAAGTTTATCAGTTATATAGATAAAAACTTAGGACGTGTGTGAATTAGGCTAAGTTGATGCTGAACCAAATGGGAAATTTTTTGGGATTTTTTTGTATCGACACATCACTACATTATCGGCACAACTTAGAATTTCCCTCATTTAGAACGCAACTTAGCCTAACTCGCACACGTCCTTACAGATTAACAACAAATCGGTGCTTCGAGATTGATTACCAGCTAATATATCATATGACATATAATATTCAGTACTAAATTACCTGGTTAATGGAACCTTTTTCCATTAAAATAAAAGAGAAAGAGAGTGAAAAAAGTTTGGGAACTTTTTTTTATCTTCAGTTCAAATTTCTTTTGGATATAATGTATAATCTCACATTCCTATAAGTCATTAGTAATGACAAACTGTATATTACATTTTCAACAGACTTCGTTTTTGTCCCTTACGTTTAAATGGATGTATTCATTCATTTAGTATAACATTAATTTGATACTAATAAATATAAAGGAATATTTGTAATCGTCAAATGTTTTAATGGTAATTCGTCTTTTATTAATAATATATAGTAGACTGCACTTAAATCTTATTATTTAATATTGAAGTGCTGCTTATTGTTTTAGTGACTTGGGATGTGAGCTTATTATGTAGCATTACTATTCCAGAGTAAATTTGCAGTTACATGCGGTGTTTTACTTTATTAATTTTTTGGTACTATGTATAGGTAATAGACGAGTCCCTATGCTCCACTTGGAGAGAAGGACAGCAGTAAGTAAATAATTAATAGGTAAATGTAAGCAATAACATTTTTAATACAACTTTGTCAAAGAACACTGCCAACTCCTCATGATTTTTGCTTGGCAATATTTTCGGCGTTACCAGAATATTATTTGAAATGAGTTCTTTAATGGTAATAAATATTATTTCCTTTAAAATAACCTATCAAATAAAATTAGAAATGCCAAATTTTTAAAAAAATAGGAATTATTGCTTGAATTCGTCAATATCTCTAAGTATGACCCCAGTTGCTGAAAATAAATAGTAAAGTCTTAAATTTGTAAAAATAATAGGTTTTGAATCAAAAAAATCATGTCATTTTAGTAATCAAAATCTTAATAAAAGTCATCTTAATAAAATAAGGAAAACGCATGGACTTAGAATCTATGAGTATTAAAGATCAAACAAGTATTGACAACTAGCGGTAAAAATTTATGTATATCGGTCATTCTTTTACTAACCGGACGTATTTTGGCAAAAAATGACCTCATGACGATTTGCTTAAAAAATTTTCATGAACTCCTTTCATGAAATAAGAAAACCCGTGTATCGGGAATAAATTTTATAATTTTTTTCTTAGGAAAGACGGATCCACGGGATTTGAGAATTGGCATTGTGGACACATTTTCAAATGGTTATATTTCAGGCTTTATAAATGGTAGGAACCTGAAATTTACTGCGTTTTAAAGATAATTGATTAAACTTTTAAGAAATTGTTTAAACAATTAAAACTATTTATATTTAAGTATTAATATTAACCGTTAAATTTCAAAAAATATTTTCTCAAAACACATCCCTAGAATTTTCATTTTTTATATTTTATTTAGAGTCAGTTTTAAATTTTTCTGCGAAATAACAATTTTCCAGATGGCATTACTTTTTGAAATATTTTAATATTTTTTTTCCCATTGAATGAATTTTCAAAGAATATACTACAAATATTCTTATATAACATTTTTGATTTCGATTAGTAATAAAATTCTACAAGAAACCCAAAAATTTTAGACCGATATTGTCTTTTAATAATTAATTTATCCTTCACATCACACCAAACACATACACACGATTTTTCAGTTCAAGAAAAAAAAATTTGTTACACAAATTTTTCCCTTTTACTTGTTATTCAGATTAATCAATAAATTCTAATTAAAAAAATTGATTTGTCAGGCGTCCTACACGTTATTCATACGCACCATAATACCACGAAATAAATTATTACGGTCACGACTTAACGGTACAAAATGCATAATTACTGTTGCTAAAAATCTTGCTTTAGAAAAAGGAATCTTAGAAGACACAAATCCAAAAACTTATCCATTGCTAATAAAACAAGTAACCGATGCGGTTTCAAACTTTTTCAAATATGATAAAAACAGTCAAATAATGCCTGGGAACATTTATATATAAAAAAATTATTCCTTCTATTTGTCTATATATACATTTCCCAATATTTATATAATTAAATAATTATATAATAAATAACCAATATAAATAATTCTTATTTATATTGGTAAACTATTTAAAATATTCTGAATGTATTAATTATTGGGCCAACACTGGCTGTACTGGAATGCCAGATCAATCCATGACATAGATGGAGCAAGCTACTAAACTCTCTGTCTGTTTCCAAAAATAAGTTTTACATTTGTTGTCCACCAATGGTGGATCTACCATATGTTAAGCTGATAAGAACAGATACTACATCTTAGCCATACGGCCGGAAAGCGATACCTTTTAGTTATTTTTGTTGTAATATCATACAAATATAATTTTCACTTAATAAGAATTATAAATTAAATAGTCCACGAAAAATTTTTTACATATATTAATAAAATAATTCTCAATCAGTTTTCATAATTATTTTAATGAGACTTACGCAAATATATTGATATTATTGACTCTAACTCTTCCTCAATTGTCGAATGAATCTTTCGCCTTTTACTAAAGATTTCCGTGGGGATAGAGTAATGTTGAGTACATAGTAATTTTTTTGTTATGCCTAGCTCAAAAAGCCGGGCAGATAAATAATGCATTCAATATTCTGTAATATATATTTTCTATTCAGGGTTTGAAATTGCAATTATTTTTGACTTCGAAAATAAAACAAGCAAAATAATTAGAAATAGTAAAAATAATTTCAAACCCTGGTATATACATAAAACACATAGTACAAAACACGATATATCTATATATACTTAAAAAAAATTAAATATGTACTTAAATTAAAATTTAGATAAAAAAAATGTTTATAAATAAAATATTTAAATTACGAATAAATAAAATTGAAACTGAAATCAATTTATATCACACCCTGTAGTTGCAAAGATTTATAAAAAAAATATTTTGCATACTTTTCAGATATTTTTTTAAAAACAATTTTAAACTTTTCTGTATTCCTGAAAGCATATCTATTATAATAGATTAAAATCGTTCACCAAAAAAATATTTTTAAATTTTAATATATAAAAAATTTAAAAACTTATAATTTCGAAATGATTAACGCATTTAAGAATATAATAATATTTATGAATAATTTATTTATGAATTTCCATAGTCCATAATTTCAAGTACTGTTAGCAAAATGGGTTAAATTATATGAGAGCTTCAATGATTCAAAATATAAAAAATGCTTGACCCTGACAAAGGACAACATTTGTTCAATTAGTTATTTTTATATATTTTAAGTTAGTTGCACTGTAGGTGAAATGCGAATGGGATTTATATATCTCCAATAAACTCTTATATGAATTCTTATTTTTTCAACTTAAAAATTTTTTTTCAAACCTAAAATTTTACAAAAACATAATTGTTTTTGTTAGCAGTTTATCAAAAATCAATATAGGTAAATAAATATTTATTTATATATATAGAAAATAATATTATTTATTAGATAATATAGTAACATAGTATTTTTTATAATGAAAAAGTTCTTAAGTTTAATGTTATTCTGGGTTTTTAATAATACAGTAGCACAATGGGCCTATAGGTTTAAGTGGATCCCCTTGGGTTCGCCGGTATAACCTAACCTAACCTAACCTAATGTTATTCGCAACAATGTTGTTTTTACTATGTTGTACTGGTGTTTAATTTTACCTTCTGTTCTTTGTTCTCGCCTTCTCTCTTCTTATTTCTAGCAATAAAATTTGGTCATCCACAACTTCCACATGATGGTTACTTCCAAACCAGAACAAAGAGCGTATAAGATCACGAATTTATCAGAGCGATCGGAGTAGAATATCATATTCTCTTGTAAATATTTTTTATATAAAATTAAAATAAAAATA